AGTTATCTTTCAAAGATATTCCTCAAAATAGATAAGAAAAAAATATTATTTTAAATTTGCATGCTCTACATATGGAAATCAAAGTTTGTATACAATATTCTGATTAATTTTGATTATTCTGCTTGTGTTACATATAACAAAGACCACCGAATAACACATAAAATGAATGTCACAGAACCATAGTGTTCTGAGGAAAAAGACTCCAGCGTAGGAAAAACTGGGAAATTAATAGGAAAAGTAAATAGAAAAAAAATGTACAGCATCAAACAGTCACAAAAACATACTTATAAATAAAAAAAATCAGATGAGATGTCATACTTTTGCTTCACATTATTGCTAATTTGCACCTACACAAATGCCTAAAGACAGAATGCGAGCCCCCCAAAAAAGGGGGATGACAGAGGGTGGAAGATGCCAGAAAGTAGGAACTGGAGAGAGTTGAGGCAAAGCAATTTTAAAATAGAGCTCAGAGGATGATACTTTCCAAAACCTCCTCACCTTCACATGTCTCTAGAAAATGGAGCTCCCTCCCTTTGTCCCTTTCCAAATCATTGTCTTGACTAAGAGTACACATACAGTCTTAGTTGACATATAACCAAAACAGCCGCACTGAAAAAGTAAAAATACACATTAATTGTTGACACTACTTGTAGAAGAATTAGATGTCGCTCACTCCAGCTCAGGAAACATGCACTGAACCTTGGTACTTTGTCTGACTCTCTTTTGTCAACTCTTTTTTAAGCCTTTCATCCAAGCTCTAATCAGCAAAATCCGTCTCGGTCATAACCTCACTCCCAACAAGCTGAAACACTCATCCATGTCTTTGTTACGTCCAAACCTGACATTTCCAAAGTCTTGTTCATCAGTCACCTCAACTCTACCCTCCAATCCTTCTGATTATCTAGAACTCCAAAGTTCACAATCACTCCCACATCCTGCACAATCATCACTGTTTTCACCAGCTTCACATTAAGGTCCTTATCCTTCAGATGCCTCCATGGCCTTGACCCACCCTATCTCTGATTTCATGCAGTCCTCTTTTCCGCCTACCCTGCCCACTCTGCTTTCGTTCTGTTTAGTTGGAAAAAGCTGATGTTGAACAAGTAATCTGTCCTGGCATCCAAGGTGGAGACAGAATGGGTGTCATCTGTGTACATATGGAAGTAGATCAAATGCATGCACACAATGTCATCAAGGAGCAGTTTGTATGCAAGGGACAGAATTGAGAATACAGCCCTTAGGAACACCGAATGTACCCATGTGGGGGCAGGACAATAAGCCATTGGGAAAACACTGGGATAAATTGGAGGGAAACCAGGAATGCACATCATGTAGATGCTCTGGGAAGATGGTGGATAAGGATAGAGTCCTCAACAGTTGAAACTGGCAGAAAAATCAAGAACAAAGAAGCATAGGGAGCCCTGGCATACAGACAGGGAACATTGTTTGTGGCTCAGACCGTCTTTCGGGGGGGACAGCAGCCAAATTGGAGAGACTCATACAGGGACTGGTGGAATAGGAAAAAGAACAATGCTTTCCAGCATTTTGGAGGGAAGGATAGTTTGGCAATTGAGTTACAGCTGGAAGTTTGGGGGGGATTCACGTAGTTGTTTTAAGAAATGGGGTGTGGGCGGGTTAATAACAGCAGTTTTAAAAGTGAGACGTTGAAAATGTCAGCTAACAAAAGGGAAGGAAATAGCCAGCTGGGTGGGCAGAGGGTGTGTGGAAACTGGGTCAAGGGTGATGGATTTAATGTGAGAAATGAGGAAGGAGATGGATACGGGGAGACAGGGTCAAAGATCTGAAGGGTGCAGGGCTTGGAAGGAGGGAAGAGTGAAAAGGGAAAGGATGAAGCAGCTAAGCAGATATTGTCAATTGTGGATCCCAAGAAGTCCATCATTTCCTTGCATTTGGCGTGGTAGGTAAGGATGCAAATAATGTGAGCAGAGAAGATAACTGAAGGTGAAGAAGATAAGCCTGAGGTTATCATTGCCCTTCAGGATGCTTCTGGATTAGGAGGAGATTTAGCCGAGGAAAGGGAGAGACAATAATTTTTGCTGGGGTGCAGCTAGATCTGAGCCAGTTGCTCTCTGACACACAGACTTTGGACCTAATCGAATGGCTGTGAATATTGTTCTAAAGGATTTGCAGGGATGGGAAGCAGTTTGAAATTTTATTAGGGGCAAGGGTTTAGTTGAACAGCTCAATAAATGTGTTGAAGTCAAACAAGCAAAGACCCAAGTGTTTGGAGGACACATTGGTATTTGGAGGTAGTTTTCTCCAAGGGAAGAAGGAGATAGTGGAAGGCTTAGGCTTAGATAGTGGAAGGCTCAGTGAAGGGAATATGAGAGGTGGGGGAATGTTTTTAAATAGCTTTGTCAGAAATGAAGAAACACTGGATGATAACAATGTTGAAAGGATTTGCATAGGGAAATTATAGGAAGGATGAAGTTGAGGAAGGAAAGGAGAGGTAAAGTGAAGGTTAAAGTTGCTCATGATGAGGAAGTATTGAGAGAAGAAAGGGGAGAGATTTTAATAAGAAAGGCACTGGAAGGTTTGGGAGGGCTGTCAGACAATGAAGATCTTAAAGGAGAGGCAAATGAGATGGTGGAGTGAGGTATTCAAAGGAGGAGAAAGATCCGGAGGAGTAAGGAGGCAAACCAAGAGAGGATTTGAATATCAGCACACAAGAAGCATCCAAAGGAGAAATGGCACTTTGGAGTTTTATTATATATAAGTAATATAATCCTCGCATTTGATATAGCTCCTTATCACATCTTCGAGACGTCTCAAAGCGCTTCACAGAATATACTGTTAAGTAAATTGACTATATATTTTGAAGGTGAAACGTGGCAGCTAATTGCACACAGCAGTGACAATATTTTTGTTGAAGGAATCCGCCAATCGACTAACATCCAGGTTCCTACTTACTGCTAGGTAAACAGAGGCGTGTGGAGTAAGGAAAGTTGCCCAACGTTTCACCCTGTCAGGAATCGAACCCAGGTCTCTCACTTGCGAGATGAGTGCTCTAACCACTGAGCTACAAGACTCCACATTATGTCACATACTGGTATGTTACTGGTTCAGTATAGCCAAGACAACAATTTCAAGACTTAATATAAAGCTGGTTCCAACAGGCTTGTAGCACTGCTGTTGTTCCTTCAGTTGTCTTAGCATACAAGTAATAATTTTAATGTATTAGAAAAGGGGTACATTCCATGAACTGGAGCAGATGAGCTGCAGCTGTAAGATACTTCTGTGTTTTAGACTTTTAACCGAAACTCACATAGCTCAAAGTATTTTCAACCCCACCTCTCCCAGCTTTTGGGGGTGGGGGGCAGGGGGTGGAATCAGTGTTGACAAATATGAGTTACACAAATAGTTTACAACATCCAATTCCAAATACAAAACAAAAAAGTAGGCTCTGACAAGAAATCCACTTAAAAGTTTGCTTCAAACCAAATCACTTGTTGTAAAAGCTAAAAGAACTCACTGTTAAAATACTTGGTTAGCTAGTGTATAAATCAGCTTCTCAGACAATAGTCAAAATTTTATTTGTCCATTGTGAATATTTTATGTCAATAGTCAAAATTTTATAACTACATTATCAAACCTCACTAAGCTGTAAATTTTTGAAATGTAAAAATCAAATTTACATTGGTTTCTAGCTCATTACGATCTCACAATTCAAAAGGAACACCATCTGACACATACTTTCCTTAGCAACATGGTACAATTTACCATAAGACACAGATGTAACCACAGTATAATGTGCAATACTTGTTTAAGTTAGACACCATAATTCACACACGTTAAAAGGTTTGAGACCATGGGATTGATCAAACAATAATAAATTGGTCATTTTCAATCTACGACTGTTTGTGGGACATTGCTGTGCGCAATTGGCTGCCGCGTTCGCCCACAAATATACAGTCAATTCACTTTACAGTATATTCTGTGAAGCGCTTTGGGACGTCTAGAAGACGTGAAAAGCGCTATATCAAAAAAAAAGCAAGAAAAAAAATGCAAGGACTGTGACTATAAGATTTCTCAATAAGTTACATTTCACACATTACCTCAATGGGAATTGAAAGGAAACGCATTTACATTCCTTGCATGAACATCAAAGAGCAACAAAAAAGTAGATAAATATTGAATATTGTCTTAGTAAAGCATTCAGACTTAATATAAACTGTCACGAGACACAATTAGTTTCCTCACTAACTCATGGAAACCTTGAATCTCAAAATTGGTTGCCATGAAGGAAAATGGAATTAGAAATCGCTGCACCTCTTCAAAGGAGAAAAACTGTGTCGTGATTTTGCTACAGTATATGTGTAAACATCTTCAGCTCCAGAATAATTATAGACTGAAATAGTCGAGTTTATTGGAATGCTGTTTGGGAAAGGCAACCACCAAACACACTTTTGACGGATGTCCACATTCAAATGAAGAAGACCTCACAGTAAGGCATCCCAAAATGATCAGACATCAATGGCACATGATGTGCCTCAATGGGAAGTCTAACAAACTCGGGGCAATCCGTGCCAGAATAGTGAACAGCAGCAAATACCCAACACAGATCCTTCCGTCTGACACAAAGGATCACACACCAGGAACAGGCAGTCAGAGGCTCTCCTGCCGGCATCAGGCACAGAGCGGCTGTGGGAGCTGCAAACACAGACAAGTGTCAGCAGCAGTCAACTGTGGGCCCGGGCTGCTGCTGCTGCTGCTGCCTGTAAGTTGGGAGCAGTTGATCTCGGCTCGGCTCGGCTGCTCTCTCTCTCTCTCTCTCCGGGCTGAGCCTCACTCACTCACTCACAGCGACCCGAGCACCAGTGAGTTACCCGGGGCAACCCGTGGCCGCACTGCCCGCCCCCCCCAGCGCCCCGGCCCCTGCACCGCGCGGCGGCCGGGCTCCGTGCACACCCCACCAGTGCCCGCGGGGAGGGGAGAGGGAGCGGGGGGCGGGGGGCGGCTGCAGGCCCCGCTTGACTTACTTGCTTTCGCGTTGCTGGCGGCCAGGGATGCGGAGGACTCATTGAGGGAGGGGAGGGCGCTGAGGGCGGTGACGTCACCGCAGCGGCAACCCCCCCCCCACAATCCTTTGTTCGTGACGTCTTCAGTTGGCGCCAATCACACATGCGCCTGATGGGGAGGGGGGGGGGGGAGGGTGCGAGATGCGCGTGCGCGGGGAGGGCGGTGCGCATGCGGGCACGAGGCCGAGAGGAGCTGTTGAGGGAGGAGCGTCGGGCAGCACCTCCCCCCCCCTCCCCCCCCTCCCGCCCTGTGCCTGAGGCTCTCTGAGCTGTCATCATCATCACCATCATAAAAATAATAATGATAATAATGATGATGACAGAGCTCCTTGTCACGTCTTCCAGGGTAGCAACTACTTGTGTGTTACACGGCCCGTCCACGCGGGGTGGCGTCCTGCAGCGCATGACGGCGCGGAGTCTGACCCCGAGCCCAGGGGGCCGGGGGGGGGGGGGAGGGGGGAGGTGACCCTGAACTCCCATCACAAAACGGTCTTCAGGCGGGGACTTGACGGTGGTTGAAGTGAGGGGGGGCGGTGGGGGGGGGGGTCAGCAAATCCGATAGGCAGCGAGGGAGTGAATTGATTTGAAAACGAGGGAGAGGGTCTTGAAGTCACTCTGTTCGGTGACTGGGAGCCAGTGGGGCCCGGCAAGGACTGGTGTGATGGGGGTGCGGCGTTTCGTGCGGGTGAGTATTTGGGCAGCAGAGTTTTGAATTCATTGGATTTTGCGATGGTGGAGTTGGGGAGACCAGCGAAGAGGGCGTTGGGTTAGTCCAGCCGCAAAGTGACAAAGGCGTGGACGAGCTGTGTCAGTTTTGAGGTACGGAGGTGGAAAAAAGTAGTCCTGGTCAGGGAACGGATGTGGTAAAAAGGAAAGCTGATGCCTAAATTGCACACGGGTTCAGAGAGTCTAAGGGAGAGCCCGAGGAGCTTCAGGAGTTCAGACCCGCAGGAGAGAAGATGACTCAAAGTGCTTCACGGAATACATTGAGTGAATTGACTGTATATTTTGTGGATGAAACGTGGCAGCCAATTGCACTCAGCAGAGTGCCACAAACAGTCGTGGATTGAGTGATCAAATTATTATCATTATTACTATTGTTTTGAAGGGATTATTACCCCCAGAAAAGCAATCCGCCAATCGACTAACAACCGGGTTTCTACTTCATTGAATCATAGAATTATGCAGTACAGAAGGAGGCCATTCGACCCATTGGGTCTGTGCCGGCTCTTTTAAAAGACCTTTCAAAATCAATCCAATTCCCCCGCTCCCTCCCCATAGCCCTGCAAACTTGTCCTCCCCAAATAATTATCTACTCCTCTCTTAAAGTTTCCTACTAGGTAAGTGTGTGGAGGTATGCGGAATAAGTAAACTTGACTAAGTAAACTCGAGCAGAGAGCACAACAGCGAGGTGGGAACTGAGTGAGGTGAGGACAGAGTGAGAGGAATTGGGTGAGAATGGAAATTCCTTATTTACAAACTGAAATTTAGTAATGGGAAATGATAAGAGATAAGAGAAGTAAGAGAAGTAAGAGTAGGGGAACATCCAGGGAAGAATCTATGGAAGAGATAGCAGAGGCACTATTGCATATATATAATAATTCATTAGAAAAGGGGGTAGCGCCAGAGGAGACTTACAAGGTTGATACCGGAACTGCAAGGTTATACCTATCAGGAAAGGCTGAACAAGCTTGGAATCTTCTCTTGAAAAGAGAAGTTTAAGGGGTGACCTGATAGAGGTCTTTAAAATTATGAAAGGTTTTGATGGGGTAGACAGAGAAGGTGTTTCCACTTGTGGGGAAGACCAAAACCAAGACCATAAATCTAAAATAGTCACCAATAAATCAAATAGGTAAAGTCAGGAGAAACGTTTGTGGTGGGAACGTGGAACTTTTTTTGAGGAATGCCTCAACTACCACAAGGTGTAGTTGAGGCGAGTAGCATAGATGCATTTAAGGGGAAGCTAGATAGTACATGAGGGAGAAAGGAAGAGAAGGTTATGCTGATAGGCTTAATTGAGGAAGGGCAGGAGGAGGCTCATGTGGAGCATAAATACTGGCATTGACCAGTTGGGCCAAATGCCCAGTTTCTGTATTATATATTCTATGTGAAAAAAAAAGTTTTGCCCTGCCTGGAATCCAACCTCTCACTTGTGAGTCGAGTGCTCTAACCACAAAGCTACAAGACTCCACATGATCCTTGCATTCGGTACAGTGCTTGTTACACCAAGAGGACGTCTCACAGGATTTACTTTGAAGTGCAGTGTCTCTGTGGGAAAAACGCGGTGTCAATTTTGCAAGCAGCAATGTCCCACAAACAGCCATGGAGTGAGTAACCAATTTTATTTGGGGGATTGTTGGTCAGGGCACCAGGAGAAACTCCCTTCTCTTTTTGAGTAGTGCCATGGGATCTTTAATGTCCATCTGAAGAGGCAGACGGTTTATCATCTCATCTGAAGGACGCATCTCTACCAATGCACCATGCCCCAAGCAATTCAACACTCTGCACAATATGTTCGAAGTCCCAATTTGGGGTTTGATCCTTCTGACCCAAAGATGAGTGTCCTATCACTGCCAGGCCGACACATTGTAATATAGAAGCTGGCAGACATACAGTAAAGACGATGGCTGTGACAGGAGAATGTTTTTTGGTCATCCGGTTATAATGACACAGTGGAAACCCATCACATGCTTAAGAGTATCCAAACCATACTAAACGTTCCCAATATGTATTCCACCTGCATTGTATCTGGAATAGAATGAACCTGGAGGGATGCATCCTGTTTAGCTAAATCCAGAGGCTATTGGGCACAGGATGGCAAGAGCTCAAGCTTGGGGACCCAGAGTGTGCATTGGGGTACTGCTGAAGTTTAACCAGCTAAAACCACTGTCATGCAAGATAGGACCACCCTGCTCCCTGGGGCTCTGGCTTGCAGGTTAACAATAACTGAGTGGGAAGAATCCCTGTTCGTGCTTTGCCCCTCCAAGTCCTGCCGATGAGCCAGGCTGGCTGGACATTCCTCAGCAATGCCCTGGAATACTGCGGACTGGCCTGGTTCAGGAAACCACCACAGGGTTGACTTGATTCTAACATTTTGTCGCCAAACATGCCACTTTAGAGCCAAGCAGTCCTTGCTTATCTCACTCCTCCACCAACCCCAAAAATAGACAGTCGCTCGTCATTTGACATCCGACAAGCACAGGTTTGAGCCCTCACAAGGTGGAAGGCGGGTACAAGCAACTCCCTGTGAGCTTCCTGGTGAACAACACAGCACAGAATGAAATGGGTAAGAGCATTGCCACGATCGTCCTGCCCATAGACAGGCTCATATCCCTACCAATTGAGCAATGGTTCCACCAGTTGGAGATGCGGAGCAGCTGCTTACCAAATCAAAATGGATTCGAAATCCAGGAATATATGGACGGGTGTGTGACACATGCCATGCTTAAGAGTATCCAAACCAAACTGGGGCCGGACTTTTTGTCACAATTACGAGACTAACTGAAGTTCCTTTACCTCTTCCCCCCAACAGAGGACTGGTGGCTGCACTTCTTCCCTCCCGTTGTAGTTGCCATCGGACGAGAAGGGAACCAATTAGGAGCAGCTCCCAGGTGATTGACAGCCAGGAGTCGCTTGGGAATGGCTGGAATCTGCTGTAAATTAGTCAATTAGTAAATGGAATAAATGGAATCTTGTTGTTGTTGTAGTAATTTGAATAATAATAATCCTTGCATTTGATATAGCTCCTTATCACGTCTTCGAAACGTCTCAATCCTCCTATCTCCATCCTGGAGCCGCTCGAGAAAGAGAAGGCACAAGTGAGCACGTGCAGCATTTTGTCCAGATTAACCAGATTGTTGTCCTAATTAAAATGGGTAATACAAATGAATCGGGGCCAGTCTTTTTGTCTGATTTACCCGGTGTCTGGGGTTAACCGGTGTCTGGCTAAAGAGGCTTCTATTGCACATAAACATGGCTGGGAATATTGACAGCCTGATGACATAATAATAGTAATAATCCTTGCATTTGATATGGCACCTTACCACATCATTGAGATGTCTTAACGTGCTTTACAGAATATATTATAAAGTGAATTGACTGTGTATTTTGTGGGCGAAACACAGTAGCCAATTACATACAGCAGTGTCCTACAAACAGTTATGGAATCAGTGACATTTTTTTTGAGGGATTATTAACCCAGACAGCAATACGACAATCAACGAACAACCAGGTTCCTACATACTGCTCGGTAAAAGGTGTGCAGAGCAAGGAAACTTGCCTAAGTGTCAGTTCTGACGAAGGGTCGTGGACTCGAAACTCACTTTCCTTTCTCCATAGATGCTGCCTGACCTGCTGAGTGTTCCCAGCGACTTCTGTTTTTGTGCTTCATGTCCCCGACCCCATCTGCCCCACCATCACCATTATGATTCCACTCTCTGGAGTTCCATTCCAGGAGTCCCTCAATTTGCTCCCTCCCTCCCCTCATTCAAGGAACATCAAGACCTAATTCTTTAACCACGCTTTTACTCATATTTTTCCCTCCCCAACCGACCTCCCTCGACTCCCACCCCCAGCTCAGGTGCCAAGCCGCAGCGTCAAGCCAAGGCGTTGTGTAAATGTTATGTTTTACCACTCAGCCGGCTCTGGGCTGCTCCACATCCCCCGACCCACCCGCCCCACCATTGGCGGGAGAGCCGTCAGCCACTCTGCCCCCAACCTCTGGAATTCCATCCCCCAATCATTCCGCCTCACCCCCTCCTTAGCCTCCTTCAAGTCCCGCCTCTTTGACCATGCCATCGGCCACCCCGTTTCCCCTCCCTTCTTCCCCCTCTGACCCCAGCTCGAGTCTGAAATGCTGTACACTGTCCAGCGCCTTGGGATGTCCTCCCGATGTGAAAGGCGCTATATGTATGTAATCTTGTTGTTGTTATTGTTTTCGGAAGGGAAACAAGATATTGCTTATGCAGCCTGTGGGCTTTTCTGAAATAGGGAATCTGGCCCATGCCACAGGCAGCCAGAATGTTGAACT